TTCCATCCAGAGATTTATACGCCTAGAGTGCTGACAGATACATTTAAGTGAAAGTAAGCCGCATGACTCAGGATAAAAGGAGAATCATGACTTTCTCACTTTGAACTGATACTACAATTTCCTCTCCCAATTCTCTGTAAAAACATTTGATAAAAATGTTGCCTCTGTAATATCAGCGTGGCTGTAAGTACACACTAGGCATGATGATGTCATAGTGAGGGGTCGAATAAGACTCTCAAGATGTTTGTGCAGTTAGAGAGCGAGAGATTTTCTGGCCTTGATACCTCCATCAAATTGGACTTGTGATTGTATAAATCTGTGGTGTTTCACTGCGGATCACAACCGTGCTTTCAGTGCGCAGTACGTGCTTTTTATCGTCATCACCGTCTTTCGAGCCATTAGAGACATAGTCATATTTAGCTGTTGGTTCAACTGTTACTTTACATTAATGAAACACCACACCTAAGGGCACACTGTGTGAGCATCTTCTAACAGTGCGATGTGCTTCCTGTGACTCATCATCTACTTGTGTTTGTGCATTTTATTTATATTATATAATATTACTGATGTCCAGAGTGGTTTGTCAAAATTAACAAGACAAAGTTATTTGAAAATAACCCTGGCTATTTGTACATCATAATTGTTTTTAACTAAACATACCCACAAGTAAGAACATAAGGGGAGGCTTTTGCTGGGAAGAGTTTAAATTTAGTTCACATATTTTCCACTTATTTTCAACTTATTTTCACTGGTGTGCTTGCTTTGAATTATACTGAGATTTACTGTATTTACGGTATTCTATGCAACTGGAAAGCAGCCTAGCATACAGGATTACACTGTCATGTAAGAATAACTAGTGGTATGAATTAACATGGTAATCTTCATTTGATGAATTATCCAGCCCTATGTGAAAAGGAAAAATGAGACAGACAGAGGAAAAGAGAGCACTGGGGGAAAAGTGGCAGAAGTTAAAAATGTTAATTGGCGTGATAAGCAAGGGTGAGGCAGCACAGGGAAGGGAAGGAAGCAGACCGGCAGACAGACAGACAAGGCTGTGTGAGGAAAGCCTGTGTTTGCGTGACAAGGTGGAAAGGAGGAAGAGGGAGGGAAGGAGAGCGGGAGCCATCATGATCCAAATAGTTGAAAATAATAAAATTCCACACAGATAAGCAAGATTTCCCCCTCGGCCCAACTGCCTGATTCAGCACCTCCAGCTCCAGAGAGCCGAGGCTCAGAGCGGAGAACAGGAACAAGGGGGGGGGATCACAGGGGTTTGCAGACCCCATCCTGTACCCTTCTCTGCAACCCCCACCTCAGCCTAGCCAGATACACACACTCACATAAATCCACACAACCCTAGTGGGTCTATTGTTAAGAAACAAGGAGTCAATAACAGATAGGAGATGAAGGAAGGCAAGTGAGAGAAGCTGTGCAGCAAAACGTTGCCATCTAGTGTCAGTCAAACAGAGAGTAGAGCCAGACTTGGCCACAGCTTCCCTCTCATAATCACTCTCAATACAGCTGTTTCTTTCTCTCTCCCTCCTTTTCAGCTGTGTCACAACTCCTCCATGTTTGCCACTCAGTCCCTTTGTTTGTTTGTCTCTCTCTCTCTCTCCCTCCGTCTATCTCTCTCTTTCAGTCACCGTTCTCTTCCACTGTTAGCGATGTCTTCCCCGTGGATCGAGCGGGGGTGGAGAAAGCGACAGAAAGAAACACGGGAAATGAGCAATTTGAATGAAGCTACCACTTATTCTACAACTGTTGGTCCAACCCCATATCTTGTTTTGTTCTGTGGTTGTCGGGTTGGGACATTGCTTTGGGGCACCGAGTAATCTGACTGGTGCAACTGGTTTTCTGCATTGCTGTCAGTGACCAAGACCCTGGAGAGAAACCTTGACACCTTATTTACTACTTTTAAGAAAACTTGGCCACCAGACACACAAACAATAAAAAAAGAGCTGCTAGTGGCGTGTGTGAAAGAGCTTTGCTTTTAATGCATGCAAGTGTCCCTACAAGAATAAAACAAAGAAAAGTGCTAAACAAAAGACAAAATTACCATTTTCCAGAAAAAAAGTATTAGAGAATACATTGATGTGACTTTCAGGCAAAAAATGCTTCCAACAACACTAAAATTGTGTAATATTTTAATGTTATGGAAATAGATACTTTATTACTATTATTGCCACGCAACGGTGTTGGTGGTAACTGGTACAGCATTGTAGCTCAGTTCCAATTTTCCAAATTATTAAAAAAAGGCATTTACGATATCTGTAAATGAGTCTAGGCTGTACTCTACTAGATCGTGACTACTATCAAAATAGTGACAGCATTGGTTTATGTGTAAACAAATCTAGCTGCTCACTTCATGACAAATAAAGGTCGGCATCGTGACAACACCTTAGACCATCTGTGTGCCTGCTCTCCCTTCTGCTGCAAAGTTTTCACTCATCATCTACTTTCACTACTTTTGCCCTTACACAGACTCTGCTCTGACTGTATAAAGTGAGCTTTTGTCTACAGATAAACTCTGTTTAATGGAGCTTGTGTGAGATTTGTGCAACCACACCACGCTAAAAGAAGTTACGATGATGCTTACGGACTCCCAGCGAGCCCAGATAAATGTTGATGCGCATGGACTTCTAATCTCTGTTTCATTTTATTAGGTGTATACACGCTGTCAAACAACAGTTAACTAGTGTGGATTTTTATACTAAATGGCGTCAAGCAGCCCACAGGTGCCTGGACGTGCCATGCGGTGCTCAACACCCAAAGAACACAACCTGCTGCTCCTCCCTTCTGACCTCCTCTGAAAACAACTCCAAGAAAATGTCTGAGATTCCTTCTTACATGGATACATGGTATTTCAATAAAATGATGGAGAACCTTCACTTACCAGCTTGTAAAACAAAATTGGAAAATAAAGTTAAGAATATGTTTCAAATGTAATTTGACAAGTAATTTCCAAACTGTTCCCCTTAAAATACAATGGAGGTACAGTGCAGATTAAATAATAAATAAAATGAAAGTTATTTTTCAAATTTCTGTAAGCAATGTTAAAATACAGCATGTTGTCAGATGAACAATCTGACCAGCCTTAGACAATCTGCTGATTGGACATCGTTTCTTTTATAGCATGCATTTGACATTTACAGCACAATGTGGCACTCAACTGGATCATTCAGAAATGCTGAAACTGGTCAGGCATCCCATTCATATATTCACAGCGTCACCCTCCGGGAGCTTTCAATGTGCACTCTAAGGACTCAGCCCACTGAAGTGCTGCTGCTGGCACCAGCCAGCAAAGCTGGCTTGCAAACTAGCTGCCACTCCAAAGAGAGAAAATAACTCCTCCTCTGACCAAAACCCACCACAGCCTTTTCATTTACATGCCAGGCAAAGCGTACTTTATCGTAAATGTTTGACTGACAATAATGGTGCCGAACAATGACTGAAAACATTCAAAACTGACTATAATTTCAGGAGTGGAGCGCTTTTTCTTTTATGAAAAGTACCAACTTGGGTTTACGAAGGTTTCAAATGCAAGCAAGGTTTAACTGGAAATGGTGGCAAGGTGCACTTTAGCTGTGAGATGGGCCAAGAGAATTTAATGAGGGTAAACCACAGGGTCTGACATGTATTATGAACAAGATCGGATTCAAAAAAGCCATGTCTACCAGGAAAATTCAAGTCAACTTTAAATGAGGATTTGCTGAACAAATACTACAGGTTTTCCTGATAATAAAGGTGATGTGACTTGCAAGTATTCATAAAAACGTGAGGAAAATGTGAACCAGACAAGAAATCTAATTACACCTACTGTACATGAAGTAATGTCTACAACAGAGGTCAAGAAGTGCAATGCAGAATTGGATTTTCCAACATCAGCCCTTTACAGCATCAAATAGATGGAACAGTATAAGTTGACTGCGAAAATCTGAAACAAGTGTTACCCCGAGCGTAGCGACAAGAGTTAGCCCTTTTAGACTCAGCTAGTCCTAGCGGTGCATGAAAGCCGTCTGACTCTATACACACCAGTCCCATTGATGTGCAGCCAGACCTAAAAGCAGTCTGATAGACTCAAGATTTTTCATTTTGTACTGCTGTTTTTGTCACCCCACCACCACTAGCAACACACACACACACA